AGTCATATGATTTCGATTAGGAAACAACTGTTTGGCCACAACTATATCCAATTCATATACCATAGACAGTAAGTCCGCTTGTCGTACATAAGGGAAACACGAAATCAACAATCAAATCATGGACTTTTATGTTCTGACGATGTCCGTCGTGATGGGAATTGCAAGAAATTGTACCGGAAAATTGCACACTTAAATCAATATTCGAATGAGTTTAACTCAAGTCTCCTTTTATCAACCGTTAAATCAAACTGAACAGTATGAAAACGTTTAGTTATTCAGGAGTTATCTTAAAACCAGCATTTGATGGGTTGCTACCCGATCATGAAATCTTCAGTGATATTTTTGTATACCTCATACCTGATCTGAAAAGAAGGACTCAAAGTCCAGAAGTGACGACTTTTGTGAACGTAAGTGTATATAATGAATCCAGCAGCACTTCTCAACTTCTCTTTCGTCAATCTGCCAGTAATTCAGCTCCCTCTCCAGCGCTGGTCCGCACACATGCAACGGCAGATGTAGCTCTCCGGTTCTGTAGTAGTTGAGCACAGAACGAAATACATCTGGATCTCGATCGAAAAAGTACTCAAACCGCCCGCCAGTCGACGGATGATGATGCTTATGTCTATGCTGTTGATGAGATGTGCGATGTCGTCGCCTTCCTATAAGGACACCCTCGACACCGTCGCCTCTGCGTCGTTTTTCCCGTCGTACAGACTCGTTTTTCGTCACATCCTCCCTAAGCCTAGTCGCCGCCGCAAGTCCGTCGTCTCGTCTCTTGGCAGAGCCACGAACAAGCCGTGTGAGCCGGGAGCCGGGCAGACGAGTGAGTGTGGCCTCGCGCGTCTGGAAGCGGATACCGCCGACGTTGATGGTCACCAAAGTCGTCCGCGCAGTCAGCGTCTTTCGGGGCGGCCAGTGTCCGAGTAGGCCATGCGATGGTCGCCGGCGGGGGCTTGGCCGACAACTGTCACCTTCAGTCTCCGAGGCGAAGGGCAGGGAAGAAGAGATGAAACCGGCCTCATCCTCAGAAGATGTGGAGAATGATGTGCACGAGGCGGTAGCAGAAGAAGATGAAAGAGAGGCCTCGGAAGACCTGAAGGCAGTCACAATGCACCCTGGCTTGCTCATCCAGCCCTCGGACTGAGGCATGGAGGGCAATTTAAAGTAGGAAAGTCAATCTCTGATGGTACGGAGATTTGTGGCAAAACGGATTCCGATTTCATGAATTGCATCACTTAAAGACATTCGTTTCCAGCCTTATGAAGGCAAGAGGCAATACTTCAGAGGGTACATGCCAAAACTCGGGACTAAGCAGAATGTCGGCTTCCTCATTTCATTCAGATCTCGTGACTAGACCTACTGACAGGAGAGCGGAATAAAGTCCCTTTGGATTCGGCCAATCAGCATCCGCCCAGGCGGCGGCACTGAGAACATGTCCACAATAATTGGTTCAGGGCAAGGCAGTGAAAATTATTTACAATACACGAGGCACAACATTTTCCCCTACACCCAATAAAGTCACTCGAATTCACTGACATGAGAAGAACAACCCCAAAAGGGTTGGCCTTTGTAAAAATCCTCTTAGAGCCTCCAGTGGTATCGAAAGTTGATGAATCCAGGTTGTGTGTTTGAATGCATGCGCGTGTGTGTTGTGGCCTGATGCAAGGTCGAATATGCTATTATTGTCGTGGTCGGTGTTGTCTCAATTTTGGGTGAGGGTGTTTGATGAAGGCCCAAAGGTGCACATGCAACGGTTGCACATGAATGGTCAGAATCCATATTGAACTTTAGTTGGTCATGTGGGAAATGTAGTCAGTCTACGTCATAAATATAGGCATTCTATACAGACATAGTATTTATGCCAGAAATAAAGACAACCTTTAAGAAAGCGGTAATTGTAGGCAAGTAAACACTAACAATTAAGCCAAAAGCAACAAGAAAGGCCATAACTCAAATATGCGTCAAACCAAGAGGAGTTATAGAAAGCAGTAACCTTACCAAAAATATTTATAAAGATTGACCAAATTTTGTAAAATTCCCATTTAAATAGCCTTTTAGGATTCATACTTAAATGAGAAAATCCCTGTATCTCACGCCTTAGCGAAACAGCAGAATAAACCAATTCTCTCAATTACTCTTGTACATTTTAATTTTGAATGTAAGTGCAAGCTCATCATCTCTCTGGTCACACGATTTCAATTGGAGGGATGCATTTTCTGTCGAGGTTCTCTATCTTAGCCAAATTACCGAGGCATGCATGTCGTAAGTGGCTTACGATTATGCATGGGATGGAATACCCATAGCTAATATCATTAACTTCGTCGACTGCAATGGCAAATATTAGTTTGCTTCATCGACAATCCCATTAGAAAATTTGATAATGTATGGGCCTGTTTTGCTTTCAAAATTACATCAGCTTTGTGGTTTAAGGACATCCGTGACTTTGTGGCGGTGTAATATCGCCAATTAACATGCTTTAATTGGTTTCGAATGCTGTTGTGGAGGCTGATGAAACACAGAAGATGTTGAAAATACATGCCAAGATGAATGATACAACGTTTTGGAAGACAGGGCCAAATAAAATACAATGGCATCATGAGACCCACTTATCCCAGTGTGAAAAATTTCATGTACTAGTCCTTAACTAGACCTAACCGCGGTATGGTGACTCGATTTCTTCAAGATTGACTAATAGTATCAAAAATAGCAAAATTAGAAAACACAATATCCTCCTTCTAACAGGTTATTCCTTATTACTTATAAATTAATGACGATGATGATGATGCTAATGGGTATTCATTCTATAACATTAAGGTAGTGAAGGACTGGTAGTTGAATTTTCCCACAAGGCTATAAATAAACTTTGCGTTTCCATTGGATTTCACATAGCTTTGCTTTTCCAGTCGATTAAAGCAAACATGCGCTTGCCATTGCAATCGTTGACATTACTTATTTCTGCTATAAGACGGCTTCGAGACCTGTAGAATAAGAGCTTAGAATCTTATACCTGAAATTTCTCTTGGCCCTTGTGAAATGACTATTATTACTATGCTCTATTTCGGGTCTAAAGTATTGTATAAGAGAAGAAACAACAAAGGGTAGGAATGAAAAAAATGAATTGAAATGTCTTCGCGTTTTCCTCACAAATACTACCCTTAGGACACGCTTATATGCTGCATATCATGTAGTCCCGCTTGAGGAGGAATTGAGATAATGACTCTTGTCCATCGGACGGGCAGACAGCTGACAACCGCATTCGGGGCAAAGCAATGGCTTGAATCTTAGGCTATCCAAGATTTTATACCCTTTTGTAGGAACGTAATGTAGACCGGATTTTACAAAACGCCTACATACTGCTATTGTTGACACATTTGAAGTATCAATGAATGGTAAGTTCAAAGCACATTTATCCATTTGTGAAGCTAACTTGCATTCAGGTTGCCCGATACGTCATTTGGGGTTATATAGATCACATTAGTTATGATATGAGTTAGCAACTAATTGTAGCTCTTATTCAAGGATTAATAATAACCTCGAAGTTTACTTAAATCGAAAATAAGTAGCATATTTAATCGCAATTACAAACACACATTTGCCCAATCGATAATCCTACTATTATATATGAGTAGGCAGAGGTCTGACTTAACTTGAATGTCGCATCAGCCCTGTCACTCACGGACACCCGTAGCCACGTAGTAGATTGGACTAATACCATCTCCGGACTATACGAAATAGAATGGAATCGTAAGGCCTACTCATTTAATTGTGGGGAAAACTTAGCTATCAGCCACTATATCTTCTTAAGTGACCTAGAGCGACTTATTTATTATCAAAAAATTACTGCTACTCTCGGAACCTACTCATATCTAAAAAAGCGTTCAATGAATTTTTTATGAAAGCTCGCAACATTGTTTGGGAATCCAATTCTTGCTGTCATAAGGATTTAGCTCAAGGCAGAATATATGATAGATACAAAGAGAAACTAAGTTTTGATGAATCTCTTGAGATAACATTGTTGGTGGGACTTTCATTTTGTATGAAAGTGCATGAAGAACAGATTCGTTGGTCGATCTCAGCACGTTTTCACCCGAAATCCGTCCTCATCTGGTGAGATCGACCAACGAATCTCTTATTTATGCACTTTCATACGAAATGAAAGTCCCTCTAACAAGATGAGAGGAATTTGTTATCTGGGGCGAGGTAGACAGTTTGCGAAAAAGTTGGGTGATCTACTAAGGAAGTGGAACATAAAAACAATGTATAAAGTGAGATTAACACTTTTCAGTAGTTTCGTCGTTTAGAAAATTTTTATACCCTCTTTCTAGAAAAGGCTGCTACAAGGTTTTGTACTCATGTGGTAAGGTCTATGTGGTGGAGACCTGCCGACCAATGCAGAAGAGACTATGCGAACACAAAAAAACTTTAAAGTTCTTTGGGTCGAGAAATTTAAGCTCGCTGAAGACATGGCTGGTCTAAAACACAACGTTTTGCGGGTAACCAAGAATTTATTATGTCTTTAATTCTTTCTGTGAAATGGCTTTGGCCAAAATTATGACGTCATGACACAGGCATCTTCTTTTCTAAGTGATAGTCTCAAATAATTTATCGGATATTCGATGCATGTAAAAATGATTATCTTCTACCATGAGCAATGATTGACCCAGTTCGAAGCGCTCATCAGCATATTGTTAAAGAAAATATTAATCGATTTTTCTATACCGAGAATATTTCTGGCCTTTAGGTTGAGCATACTCGATTCTCCAAAGTGGCTTTCCCTTCAAGGCATGCCCCAACCTCTAAAATGGGTTATTCTAAAGTGCAAATGTACTTCATCATTTTCCAGAAGCAATTTCTTGTTTCACATTTGGTTTACCTTTGTATTATTGGAGCAATGCGTAAATGATGAAGACCGAAGTGAATGAAATCGCTTTCATTACTTGGCGCAATGCGGATTAATTGAGAGCTCAGAAGTCTTGCCAATTACACGCGATGTTGATATTTCTACGAAATCCTCGAATGGCTTATACAGGGACTGAAATTGAAGGTTCATAGGCAACTATATAGGAAATGATTTTCATGTGTAACAAGGAACGGGTGACAAGTAGAGTGGAGAAGGGATAAATTTAAGAAAGACGCCATGGCCCAGAAGCCCTGCGAACAGCATCTGAAGCCGATGGTGAGATGATTAGGCTTCACTCAATACACTTGAAGCGATACATTCTTAAACGAAATTAGCTGAACTGGAAGCACAATATGGTGTGATTAGGTAAACGGGCATATGAAGAGGGTTGAAAGCAAAGTACGCAGAACTAAAAGCTATGAAAAAATAGGAGCGAGGAGTGATGCCACAATAGTTGAACAGAAAATTGCTTAAAGGGATCGTCCTCATTTTTCGTTAAGAGGTAGGATTACGAGACTACCAGTAAATCAGATATATGAGATGTATTCGCCCTATTTCATTTAATGCGATGAAGGACTGGTAGTTGAATTTTCCCACAATGATATAAGTAGACCGTACAGTTCCATTAAATTTCATATATCCTTGCTTCCCAAAAGGTATTCTCACCCAATCATGAGTGGACTGCAGTTTCCCATATCACATTCTGTGCTATTGTATTTGCTATAGTAATCGACTAAATTACCTAATTTTCGTTTTTCCATAGGGCTTCGATACTACCAGTAACTCATTTGTAATTACCTTTATTTGTCACTTTGATGATTTGTAACTCTGCGCTAATGATGGTGCTTCTCACTGATGATGCCGGCGAAGCATATGGGAATGTGCCAAGTGAGCGGTCCAATGATGAAAATCATCATGAATACTATGACAAAGGACGCAGGACTAGGTAGGTTCCGCTAGGCCTCCCTGTTGATCTGGATAAGTTGCAAAAACGGGGCCAAGGCGACACCATACAGTTAAAGGAGACTGCGAAAAAACTGAAGGCCAAACCATCCTGGCCTTCATACCTACGAAATTCTCCCCTATATGACGTGTCCATTTGTGATTATTCAGACTCATTTGGGCACCTTTCACTTCGTTTAAAGAGGCGAGTGGAAGGGATTCTTAGATTAGCCCCATCGGAAGCTGTAGGGGAGTTGCCTTGGAGCTATGACTAATGATTTGTACGAATTGGTCATCGGCACGCAGC